GGTTATCTCCTGAATTTTCAGGTGATTTTGTCTTATGAGGAAACTATTTATTTTTTCAGAGGAGAAAAGCAGTTCAGACACTTAGTAGCCTGAATATTCAGGCAAAATAGGATAGCACATGAACCAGTAGTAGTCATATCTGTTTTATCATCACTGGTATTGTTACTGAATCAAACAAGGGTCCACTCACCCAGCACAGTAAAGCCAAACACTGATGCGGAGATTTGCAGTGAGAAAAAGAGGCACTTAACTGCATGATGTTAAGTAAGGAGAACGGGCAGCTAAAGACCTGAACTCCCCAGTGGTTTACAGTCAGGGGTTTTTAAAGGCAGGGGTACATTTCAGGAAAGCAGAAGTTCCAGGCAAAATCATAAATCAATACATGGAAGTTATACACTGGTTTGGCACAAAAAGGCAGGATATCTTGAAGCGGCAGCTTGCAGGTCATAGGTAGGATCAAAGATTGTTTGATTAGTGGTTGTTTAAGGAAACAAGGCCTTGTCTAAAACTTTGGTTAGCGGAAAGGAATGTTAAAGTTTGGATTGGAAAGGAATGTTAATGTTTCAGCCGTGGGTGTGACTCTCTCCAGGCCCCTCAGGAAGAAATTTATTTAGAACACAGAAAGGTGTAAGAGTCTGGTCCTCAGTTCACCCTTATCTGAGGTCTATAATGATAGCATTTTCCATCTGTTGGGTATTTCTGAAAAACAATTTAGTAGCATATGTTAAGATGTTATCTTTTACTTTCTATAGGGAACCAAAACACCTTGTGACTCTGGCTTGCTTGGGAGACTATTGTTATTATCTTCTTGCTTATCATGTTCATTTATTTTTCAAGACTAGCTAGATACTTGGAATTTCCCCTGAAGTGACTCAAGATTTTTCCTTTATTTCCATGCTTAGATTCCTGACAGGCATCTAAAAGAGGTCTCAGCTCCATTTCAGTATGAGGGATATCATACATTTTTAGCTTTTCATTAGCTTTTTGCAATGAATCTTTTATAAAAGCTATTTTTGAATCCTGTTGTCTCTTTGAGGCTTCTGAATACCAATTAAAATGAAATCCTGGCCAGGCATGGTGGCTCAGGCCTGTAATCCCAGTACTTTGGGAGGCTTGTTTGAGGTCCCTAGTTCCATGTTACAGTGAGGTATGAACCACTGTACTCCAACACTCTAGGCCTGGGCGACAGCGAGACCCTGTCTCTTTATTAAAAAAAAGAATCCCATTCTTTCTACCTAATCAGAGGCTTGGGATTCAAGTGTATTTCTGTCAACAGAAAAGAAGCCAAACTCTGTAAAATAATTTAAAGAGGTTTATTCTGAGCCAAATTTGAGAACCATGACCCAGAGCCATGCCCAAGAAGCCTTGAGCAAGTGGACTGACTCTCTTTTGTTGGGTTACAGTTTGGTTTTATACATTTCAGGGAGACAGGGATTACAGGTAAAGTCATAAATCAATACATGGAAGGCATACATTAGTTTGGCCCAAAAAGGTGGGTCATCTCTCAGAGTGGAGACTTACAGGTTATAGGTGGGTTTAAAGATTCTTTGGCTTGTAATTGGTTTGACTTGTAATTGATTAAAGACATGAAGCTTTGTGTAAAGTCTTGGAATGTTGTAAGATAAGAAGGTCTGTTAATCCAGAGACTGGCCACCTGAGGTTTTGTTGTGTAAGTTTGTCTTGCATAGTCTTGGGCTTGTTAGTGAGTTAGGAAGGATATCTCTAAGAAGGGGGGGGGGTCATGATAAGGCATGTCTGACCTCCCTCCTGATGGCAAGCAATTTGGTTTTAGGGTATCCTCTTAGCCAGGAGGAGGCCCATTCAGCCTGCCAGTTGGTTGGCAGAAGTCTTAAGCTTTAAGGGTCTTCATATGGCCATTATAATTCTAAATTATCTTTAATAAGATTTTTCCGCTTTTGTAAGTATATTGCAGCTTCCAGGCCCTATACTTATACATGCAAAAAGCAGGAGTAGCCAGAAGGCAGACTACTCAGTTCTTTAGAAATTAAGGATCTCATTTTTACATTGAGTCTCTCAAAGCCAAGATAAAAGCATAAGAGAGAGATGACACACGTCTGGGTCCTGTAATGCCTTTACTATGTACCTCACAGACATTTTTCTTGCAGTTGGTGGACAACTTTATGTCAACTAGCCCATTCCCTGACCAACTTATCCTCTCATGATAGTCTTTATTTCTTGGTGGTGAGTCACTCTAATCTGTTGCCTCCAATCCCCAGTCCGTGGGAAAATTGTCTTCAGTGAAAGTGGCTTCAGGAAGTCTGCCCTGGGGCCTTTTAGGATCTTTAACTTATTTTTTCTGGTAGGAAGTCCATCATTTCAGGCCTAGTATAGTGGTTTAGGCCTATAATCCCAGTACCTTGGGAGGCCCATGTGGGGGAGGATCACTTGAGGGCAGGAGTTAGAACCCATCGTTTCTGGGAAACAACTCAAAGGGTCAAGTAGTTAAGTTAAGGGAGAGGATAATAATAAGGGTTTATGTAGCCAGTTACATCAACCACTGCAAATCCAGAGGTCATGTGCCCTCTTGCAGCACAGATATAACCATTGGTATCACAAAACCAAAGGGATCAGAGAACTCAGTGCAAAAGAAGACAGAGCTTGATAGGAACTCTAAGGGCTTTGAGGAAAACAGAGGATACCCCAAAAGAGGGGGTCATTGACGCCTTTTCAGTGTTCAAGGAGTCTCTGGGTCATAAGTCTCCTTCATACGGTCACCAGAACTGTCAAAAGACAAAATTACAATAAGTTTACTTATAAATTGAATTGACTTTTATTTGCAATTCATGAATTCTACAAAATAGAAAGCTTCCACTGGGCAATGGCAGAACTGTGGGTTTATAAGGTAGCAACAGCAACAGTAAGAAAAAGATTTCTTTGTACGTTTTCTTCTAAGATATGTCAGGTTTTAGTCTGAAATGTTGGTTTTTGATGTGCTCATGGCCAAAGAATGACCAGACGCACCAAAGTAAGGCAAGCATGAAAATGAGGTTTATTGAGGAGAGAAAGATAGGATTATAGGGCAAGAGCAAGATATAGGTTTACAGAGCACGATACATATGCCACATTGATACATACGACCAGGCCCATTGTCACAGCAAAGGGGAGAGCAAAAGGAAGGGCACAAAAGGGACCGGTTATGGTCTGCATCTAGTTTTATATAAGTGCCCGGATTGGGACCTCCCTCCTGGTTCAGATGTCACCATAGAACCACTTTGATTGGACAGTTGTGAGTTGCATTACTATGCATGTGGGTCAGTTTCCAGACTCTGTGGAACCTATGCTGCTTGGCCTGTGGGTTAGAGAGTCCTCTGCGTTATTCTGCAGCTGGCACACTAAGTTATTTGTGATTAGCAGATTCATAAGTTATTTCCTCCTCTCCCAGGCATGGCAGTCTCTCGGGAGAGGATTAGGGTGGGGCAGAACCAAGATGGGGGGCTGGAGCCCACCCTCATCCTTCTTCTCAGGTCGGGCAATTACACCAAGGCAACAGCACCCACTTTTGTCCCTAGGAGACCCGGCATCCCTCACTATCTACCTCACAGTTTTAGCTCTTATATTTAGAACTATTTTGAGTTAATTTTTGTTAGATTTTGTGTTATTCTCTTAAAAAGCATTTTTAAAGTATTATGAAAAATATAAAATAACTTATGATTTCATGGGAGAGTTCCTGAGAATTCTTTCTCATTCCTGAATCTTGAAGATTAATATCTGGAATTTGGGAACACTAGCTGGTGCGGTTTTCTCTGCATTGATAGTGAAGGCTCTTAGGTAGTTTACTCTTTGAACAGATGGTGGCAGCAGAGCTTTAGAGAATGTAAATTCTTGTTTTTATAAACTTGGTACTATAATAGAGAATCCTCTTAATATAGTTAGCCTGCCTTCTTTTTGGTAATAGGTTGTTATGCACTGAATTTAAAGTTCCTTTTAAGATTCCTTAAGAATTATTTAAATTTAGGGATTTTTTTTTTTGCCATGAATTTATTCAGACTTCTCAGTTTGTAAGGCCGGTTTGTGAAATATGGACAGGATTTGCTTGACATCTTAGAGTACAGTTTTCTTAAATTTACCGAATGTGTTTTATCTACTTTTTTTCCCCCATTATGTCACTCCTATTTCATGATCTTCATGTAGAGATAAAGTACTAGAGTAAAAGTAAAAATGTTGATTTCCATTAAAGTTCTTCTCAGGTTTACTCCTGAAACAAATTGGCAGATTTACAGTCTGCAGGTAACCTTTTTTTTCTTCAACAATAAAAACTGTGTCATCACAGGATTGGACCTCAGTTGTCCTTTTTAGATCTAAATATTAAACAGTACAATTAGATGATGCCCATTTTCCCTGACAGTTGTTTTCAGTACAGTAATAGAAATAATAAGCACTTCTTGGGCACTGACTCTTTGCTAGGCACTATGCTAAATGCCTTGCGTGCATTGTCTTCTTTTATTCTCACAACAGCTCATAGAGATAAGCACTGTTTTTGCCCTGAATTTCCCAGAGGAGAGATGTGTTGATGGGATTAGAGAAGTTAAATAATTTGACTAAGATCACATTAGCAGATGAAGTAAGTGTGTGTGTTCATAACCAGCTATATTGCACTTTTGTGTGTTTAATTTTTACAGATGGCAAATTAGATATATCACTCTGCAACTTTTTTGTAAAAAAATTCAACACTGTTTTCAAAGATCTATAGCTCTTGCTACTACATGTAAATATTTGATCAATTTCTTTACCTCATGAGTAGATTAATACTTTGTATTTGTTTGACTTAGCTGCTGAAAACTAGCATATCCTGGAATCTCATCTGATTTGGGCTTTACTTCACTTTTCCACTAGAGGGTGTACCAAATGTTTGATTTGTTTTTCTTTTGCTGAAACTATAGTAATATTGGAGTAATGTGTTATTTTTTGTTATAATCAAAGAAAAATATTAATGCATCTAGCAGGTATAATATTCTCCCTGTTTTATTTTTATATTGCAGGTTACTCATTTTTGGATCCTATGACAGAGAGGCAACTATTCATTGCACTCTTGAGTTGAGCAGCGGGGTTTGGGAAGAAAAACAAAGGAGTTCTATTAAGACGGTAAACTGAATTTGTGTGGATTTACATCTGTATAAAGTTCTATAAGCATGGTTTTATTAATATTCTGTGTTCCTAGAGTTAGTTTTGGCCATGTGCAAATGTTCTTGTTAAATTTGTCTTATTATAGTACAACATTGGTAATAAATCACATGAAGCTATAGTTAGTATTCAGATTACCTGCATAGGAAGCATAGTCCAACTAGTTTTCCTTTCAGAACTTTAAAATTGTTTCATTTATGAAATTAGAAGGAAATAATTTTACTAAACACCTTATAAGGTATGTGAATTCAGAAGATTCATTCATTAAACAGATATTTTATGCTTGCATACTTTGTACTAAGCACTGTTGTAGATGTAGGGGAAATGGTTCAAGACAAGATAGGACCCTATTCTGTGGCACTAACATGGGGTAGAGGTGTGGTGTGGGGTTTAGAGCAGGGAGGAGGTTAACTACACTTTATAGGGTAAAGATAAAACATAGCAATAAACCAGCAAATGGAAACAGTGAACAAAGCTATTTCCAGAGATTGACAACTATAATACTATAAAGAAAATAGGGCTATGACAAAGGAGGCTCTTTAGATCTGGTGATAATAGGGAAAGACTCTAAAGAGATGACACTGGAGCAGGCTTACCAGAGAAAATAAAGAACACCCAGTTAAAATTGAATTTCAGATCAACAATGAATAATTTTCTGGTAGACGCATGTCCCCAATATTACTGGGTAACAGTCAAAATGCTGCTAAATCTTTAATGGACAACTATGTGATATTTTCAAGGATATTCCTTTGACTTTTAAATTGTTTCCCATTTCTTCATGTAGTAACTATTGTGAGCATCCTTACAGAAAAAATGGGCAGTGTGAAATTCTTTTGGAAGAAATAGGGTAATTTTGATCTAGAGTAAGAAAGTAGAATTAAAACAGGAAAGGGAGGATGGTTTGACCCACAGAGTTTGAATTTATGAAAGCTGTGGGAGCTGTTGAAGATTTGAAGCATGGTAATGATGTGGTCAAAATAGAAGTTTTAAGGAAGCCTTCCTTTCTCTTTGGAGGCTGTTCTTTCTTTTAAGTTATGTCTCAAGCAATTTGAAGCAACTCCTCAGAGGAATAAAATAACCAGTTTTAGAATTTGTTCTGAAATACATAACTACATTAAAAAGCATTATTGTTTTGTCTAGATAAATTTTTGGCTTTGAATTGGTCATAACTTGCCACTGCTATTGGCATTTTCAGTTTACTTTATTATATTTTCAAAGATATGAGATTAGACAGCTTTCATATTGTATAGCAAAGGTTAGTGAGACTTTAATCTTGACTCATTATTTTAGATCTTAGCATATGTCATAGGTAGTTTTGAAGAAAGAATTTCTAGGTTACTAATTACATCTGGTGTTGAAAATGTCAGCAACAAATGTCTACAGGCATTAAATTACAAAAGTCTAAATTTAATATCTCTAGGGAGGAGAATTAATGTGTTCTTCAAGACAACATAACACATCAGGAAGTATGATTTGATCATTTAGAATATTTTGCAAATTTGGTAGAAAATGGAACATCATTAAAAAACTCATATACCAAATCATTTGATGAGTTTAGAGAGCTATCTTTGTATAAATACAATATTTAGGATTAAATATTTTAATGTTTAAATTGCTCAGTGAAGTTAGCTATATTAATTGCAGTGAATATGCAGAATGAAGGAAACTTAATTCCTTCCATATTTTAAATGTGTCTTTGAGTTTTTAAAGCATTACCATATTATAGTGAAGAAACATGGCTTTCTCCTTTATCATCTTTAGCATGAGATCTTTGACCTCATGGTTGCAAGATGTCTAATGCACCGCTAGGTATCCACCTTTCAAGAAAAATGGTGAGGCCTGAGGTTGGCCAGAGGCACATGTCAGCTAGGTTTTACCCTTTTCAAAAGCTTTTCTGGAATCTCCTCCCAGAAATTTCCACTTACATGTTATTGTCCAGAAGTGGGTCATGTGTTCTCCCCTAGCAGCAGAGAAGTACAGTATGAGAAACCATTTTAATATTTCATTCTTCGTAGAATTATAATGCAAGGGAAACGGGAGTTATGAATAGCTTTTAGGTGGCTAATCCACAAGAAAACAATTCAAGTCTATCTGGTGACTTTTTGTTTTGATGGGAATTTTTCATAAATTGAGAAAAAAGAAAAAATTGAAAAGAATAATTTAATAAATAGGCTGCATAAAGCCTAATTTAGAAATACCTGACCAGAAATCCAGGAAAATCTGGAACAAACTCAGACACTCAGATCAGTGCCCTCCTTAGCTCATTTGCAAAATAAAAGTGCTCACTGGATAAGTGAGGTATCTTCTGGTTCTGTTTGTTCCTTAAAAATAATAAATAAGGAAAGATTCCTCATGAGTATCCCCTAAGATATGATAGCTGAGGTGCAGATAAATTAGATATTAGGCTTAAACAAAAATTCGAGGATCATCTTGCAAGGCATAATAGAGTCAACATTAAAAATTTCTTTACTTACACCAAAAAGAGACAATGTAGTTTGTGATTTATTTGAGTCCATTGCAATATTTACGTTCGGTAATGACACTTTGCTTCACTTTCACTAAGGAACAAATTTAAGAGGTTTTCAGATTTTAAAAAGTTTCAGACCATGATATTTCTTTTTCTTTTTTTTTTTTTTTTTTTTTTTTTTTTGAGACAGAGTCTCGCTTTGTTGTCCAGGCTAGAGTGAGTGCCGTGGCATCAGCCTAGCTCACAGCAACCTCAAACTCCTGGCTCAAGCGAGCCTCCTCTCCTGCCTCAGCCTCCCAAGTAGCTGGGACTACAGGCATTCGCCACCATGCCCGGCTAATTTTTTGTATATATATTAGTTGGCCAATTAATTTCTTTCTATTTATAGTAGAGACGGGGTCTCGCTCTTGCTCAGGCTGGTTTCGAACTCCTGACCTCGAGCAATCCGCCCGCCTCAGCCTCCCAGAGAGCTAGGATTACAGGCATGAGCCACCACGCCCGGCTGGACCATGATATTTCAATAGTAGTAAACTATGAAAATAACTATCTGTAGAATTTATAGTACTTAAGTAAAATTCACAATGAATTAATCTGACATATTAAAACATGTATAATCATTATTTTGTGCATGGTAGAGAACACAGACCATGTAAATGCCATATTAGCACACATTATTTTAAAGAGAGAAATGCCAAGTTTTACTGTCCCAGTATTGGAGTTTCCTTGCCATTGACCACCCACTTGCTGTATCACTACCGTGTTTCCCCGAAAATAAGACCTATCCATAAAATAAGCCCTAGCAGGATTTCTAAGCATTTGCACAATATAAGCCCTACCTGGAAAATAAGACCTAGTGTTGGGCGTGTCTACCCAGCGTATCTGCACAACCCATGCATTTTGTTGCGGAGCAGTAAAGAAGACAAGCAGCCCTTCTCATCTGCCCCATCGTTACAGCTACTATCCCAGAGGTAACTGGAAAGGTGCGGGCAGCCCCACCAACAAGGTAGGCTCCCCGTCAGGTCCCGGCCATCCTGTGCATGCTGCAAGCTTAGGCTTTGAGGGGAAAATAACACATCCCCTGAAAATAAGCCCTTCTTGAGGAAAAATAAATATAAGACCCTATCTTATTTTCGGGGAAACACAGTAGTTCCAACACAAAATAGGTTATTAGTAAATGTTCTGTTCTCTTCCCTCTCTCTTCCTTTTTGGACAAGTCTGCCTGTGCCTCCTATGTTTTCTTTTCTGTCATTTATTCACACTGACATTTGATTCTTCAAACAGATTATTCTATTCTTTGTCCAACTTGGAATGTTTGAGGCCATTTGGGGAGAAGAAAAGGCACCATAAAAATGGGCTGTGGAACCTCTGAATCTGGGATTTATGGGGGACAGGAAAAGGCAGTGGGGGCCAGTATATATACCCACCTATCCTTTCATTGTGAATGAAAGGATATGAGAATTTCTGATTTTAGAAATAAGCTTTTATGTACATTTTCTGATGCTGACCCTACTTCCTCTTTTTCTAATCTACCACTCTGCATTCAGGCACTTGAATAGCTATTGCCTTTCATAAGAGACCAAGTCTTTCTTTCTACAATTAGAGATACAAGGCTTGAAATCCAAAGGAAGCTTCTGGGTTCGTTAATACAGAGTAGATCAGCAGAAGAGAGATACTAGAACAGTCATTGTTCAGTATAAATAGAAGAGTAGAAGTACTTCATGTCTTATGTAGCCCAATATGCAGATAGCAGAGGGAACTGTGCTTAAAGGCATTAGAAGATCACATGGTACTTCAGATCTGTCTGAAAAACAGGGATTGATAAATCCCTAAAGAACATTCAGCTAAAGTTGGGGAGAATCCATAAGTGATATTTTAGAGCTTTTAATCAGAATCAGTATATTAATTTCAGAGCATTACATGGTGTCAACTAGCAACTTGTGTTGGCAGCTACCATAAGAAAGGCTTTAAATAAGGTCAGCCTTACCCAAAATTATGAAGTCGGAAGAATTTACCTCCTAGATTTGGACTTTATCTTTCTGTTTGACTTGAGTAGTATTTTTCCTTCTCTCCACTGTTGTTTCCTTATCAAAGTCTCATTTTTCTAAAAAATCTGATTCTAAAAGGTCAATAATTGATATCAAGTTCCCTTCAGTTTACTTTTTAAACATGTCCTTACAATGAAAGTGATATTCGAAGAGGTGATAACCTGCTTTCTAAGAACTGCTGCCAGTGTTAAAAACAAGATACATAAACCAAGTATCTAACATGTAGTACTGTAGAATCTGTGACATACTTTTCCCATATACAAAAATCCACAGTCTTATGACTATGGATTTGAATGAAGGGACTTTGAAAATAAGATCAGCCATGTTTACCTGCCTAAGATTGAGCCTAATTCAGAGGCAGTCTGGCTTGTTATAGAGCCCAGTGAGTCTCCCTTTATTTCCAGAGTAAGGGTTAGAGCAAATGAGTACAGGAAACACTAGGTATAGAG